CACAACTTGGATGCATCTAAGGCAATCACTTTGCCTAAAGACTAATGAGTTGCAAAACCTAAGGACGGCCATCCTAAGAAAGTTAAATTTATAGTGTTAGAGAAAGGAAAAGCAATTATTACAAAATATATTCTACTTAATGATATGCCATATACATCTATGGCAAATGATACAAGTACTAATGACTTCTCATATGGAGAAGATAGATTCTTGGACACTAAGGAGCCCCCGCTAACATATGATCCTACAAAAGACACGATGTTACATGCTTTGTTGAATACTGAGATTTCAGGGTTGCAAATTACCAATACAAAGGTTATTAGAGTTTAAGCAAGAGAAAGAATGGAAATGAAATCATCTTATTCAGAATAGGTAGTTACAGAGTGTTTATATAGATGATAGTCTTAATAGACTTACAATTAACAATATAGAAGAACTAACAGTTTATAACTACCATACAACTGAAGAGAAATCTACGTGTAGCTCTATACACTATTCCTAACATCCCCCCATCAAACTGAGTGGGATCAGGGTAGTAGGGTAGGGTGGGTAGGGGGGTAACAATAAGGGTAAGGGCAAGGGGTAAATTCGGAAACTGAAAAAGTTTAAAGTACCGCTTAATTAATACATGGGGGGGGGGGGGGGGGTGATATGCTTAGTAAGCGGCACTTTAAGCACCTATTTCGGTTAGTAAGCGGCTTTTTAAGTAGCGTGCATGTTTACTTCACCTGTCTTACTAACCTAATTGTGACTTTAGCAGCGAAGTAAACGCCTCATAAGAGTGTCTGGGACCACTTTAACATGCTGCTTCTTTTTCTTCTTTCAATGGGTTTAATCTCCTTTGTAGATTTGGCAACATTATTCTTTTGTGTTACTGAAAATTAATAAAAAAAATGTCACTTGCTTACCAACAGTTCACAGGAAGTTCACATTCTTTTCATATGAACTAGTTATTTGAATATAACACATTTTGATTAATGAAGGGCTCAAGAATTTAAAAAAAAAAAAGAAGAGGTCCATTTTACTTTCCTTAATTCTTCTATAACTGAACAAGGAAGCAAAGAGATAAAATTATAAAGTAATTATTGAAAACAAAAGAGTGTCTGTTGTCAAGTATTTTGTGTCAGACAAATTTGTGTTTTTATGACAAGGTTAAAATTTACTATTGTCTTTCTTTTCAACAAAAGAACAACTTCCTCATGGTTCTGAACCTTTGGAACCAAAACTATAACTTTATTGATTAGTATCTCGAAGTAGTCAGGAATGTCGAATCAAATTTTAATTTAGATTTTTCATCTTGTCTTAGAATTTCAGTTTTGAAAAGAACAACTATTTCTAATGAGGTGAGCACCTATCTTATTCAATCTTTGAACACAATTTACTAATTGAAACTAATAGCCTTAATATCTAGAGGAAAATCTCGTGTGGACAAGTCTTTTGTGGATAAGTAATACTATAAATTTTGAACTAAATCCCCTTGTAGTCCCTATAGAAAATCAATATGTGGGTTTACATTAAAAAGTCAACATTAAAAGAAACCGTTTGCTTAGTTTCAAATTTTCATGTTTCTTAAACGCAAGACATCATAAATGTTTTGTTTAACAAAAATTGACATTGTCAAACCTCAAACACATATTTGTCTGACACAAAATAATTGACAACAGATATTCTTTTAAAACCAATGATACAATATAGGGAATATTAGGTAACAACAAAAAGAAAATAATTAATTAAAAAATTTAAAAGGAGAAAAAGCATGTTGGCAAAAAGAGCAAACATCAAAATCAACATATTGTGCCACTTTGGAACGTGTAATATATTTTAATTAGTTAAATATCAAATATTTAAGTCTAAAACGTAAAAATATTTAGTACTCCGTTGGTTGAAAGAGAAAACACAAGTCGAACGACTTCCAGAGACCTAAACAGCTTCCTTCTAGAGACCCCTGACAACCCTACTTAATTTAGAAGTTGAGTGTGTGAAATGAAAGTAATTTTTAGTAAATTTGCTAAAAAAAAGGGATCCAAATTAATTGGGAGTACGTCGAAAATAGAGTTCCTCAAATTTTGGATGGACCAGCCAAGCGGTACAAGTATTTTGAGATAGATTGGAAGGGAATTTTACTTGATCTTCAGTATTCCAAACTTCTCATTTCTGGCTATACATTGCCATATTTGTAAGCCTTTAATGATGCCAAAGGATACATATGTGTGGGACTTGGGAGGGGAATTGGTCACGCCGGCACTTTAGTTCGGTTGGATGGAGTTGAATTCTACTGAATAAGAATTTATTTAATAATGTACTATATGCTACGGAGTATTTGATTTTAATTTGTTGATAATATTTTAGCTTGATTTTGCAAAAAAAAAAAAATACTAGCTCCGTCCCGCTGGAAGGTTCCCATAGCAAAACGGCACGATTATTTAGATGATAATTATATAAAGTACTTTGAGTGTATTTTGAGAAATAGTTTTAATAGGTATATATTATAATGTCTTAGTATTGATAACTTTTATTTTATAAATGTATTATTTGTAATATTTAATGACTAATTTGTAACTTAAGATTGTTAATTGTTTCCTAAAATGAAAATGAGAACATTTTAATGAGACGTCCAAAAAAGGAAAATGAGAACCTTCTTTCGGACGGAGGGAGTAATATTTTAGCTTGAATAAAATCGAACCATTTTTCAAAATCAATAAAAGTATAAAACTAAAATACTACGAGCCCATTTGATAGCACGAAAATGGGCTGATTCTGTGGAAATTTATAAATTTCTTGCTGAAGTGACTACATTGGATGATTATGCCGATTTAAGATTTTTTAAATATATTTTATTAATAAAGTAATGAAAAAATTATACGGAGTATGTAAAATTACTAAAATGGTCATCTACAGTAACTTAAGCCAATAAGCCAGAAAAGTAACTCCAACTTTACTTTTTCTGCTTATTACATAATTCAGCGCGCGAAAGCAAAAGTTATGTGTTTGGTAAAAAAAGTTGCCTGATAAAGGCCTATACATGTATTATGTACTCCATCTGTCCCTATAAACTACATCAAAGTTGATTGACACGTAGAATGTTGAAGTAAAATTGCATTTCTAAAGTTTCTGCAGAAGAGAGAAAAACAACATAAACAATAAATTTTCATTTAAAAGAGAAAACGATAAAATTAGTGAAACAATAAAAAAAGTTGACAAAATTATAAAGAATATTTACATAACGCTCCCTTCGCCCCACATAAATCGTCTCAAATTTTCTTTTCGATCTATTTCACTAAAATTGTCCTAAATCAAATTTAATAAATTTATTCTAAATTATTTCCTAATGTAGTTGGGAACAAGGTAATACGGAGTAATAAAATAGCCAACCCAAGCTAAGGGAGTGTTTGCATTTGATTAAAAAAAGTGCTTTTCAGCTTTTGACTTAAAAAAAGTTAAAAAGAGTGTTTTCAAATGACAACTTCTACTTAAATTAATCACTTAAAAGCTAAAAGCTGGAAGCAGGTGGAAGGGTGCTTTAAACTGCTTTTCACTTTTTCTATTACACAAAAAGTACTTCTTTTACCAAACACTACCAACTTTTACTTTTTCAGAATCACTTTTTCCTCAAACACTGCCAACTTTTACTATTAATCACTTTTCCCAAAATCACTTTAAAAAATCACTTCTTTAAAGTTGAAGCAATTGCAAACACTCCCTAAAGCAAACCGATTAAACCGAGTTACCGAGACAAATTATTAAGGTAATTATTCTCAACCCGTTTAAAACTGTGATCCAGACTAAAAAGTAAAAACCATAAAAATTGAACCTCCGTTCGGACTTAGGATGTTTTTACTTGGGCTGTAATTTGCTGGTCTGGTCTGGTCTGATCTGGTCTGGTCTGGTCTGGTCTGAACTGGTCTGGTCTGGTCTGGTAATGTCTGGTTTCTTTGTATTTTTATAACTATCCAAGTCTGGTCTGGTCTGGTCTGGTCTGAACTGGTCTGGTCTGGTCTGGACTGGTCTGGTCTGGTCTGGTCTGGGACAAATTACAGTCCAAGTAAAAACATCCTTAAGGTTAAAAATGGTTGTGCCCATAGATTAGGTTCGGTTGTTTGTTTTCCTGAACCAGTGTTCTACCTTCTATCTTTCCTTATTTTATTCATAATCCATAATATTGATGTTATTCATCGATACGTTTGCCATTATTCCGCGTAAGAAACTTCATACATTCCCGTCAATATGTGCTGCCTTTATCCAAATAAATAAATAAATATAATAATAAGATAAACAAAGTTGACAAAACTACCCAATTCCTCTAAACTGGATCTCCTCTCTATGTCACAATAAACTCAAAGCAGAACTATCTGGATTACCCGGAGACAGATTGATTTATCCGGGTGGGGTTACCATAATATGTTATTTTACTTCTTTTGAGTTAGGGTTAGGGTTAGGGTTTCTTTTTAGATCTTCTTTTAAATGTAAGCAATACATGTTGTGTGTATGCAAACACACATGAATATTGTATGCTGTGTTTGTGATTCATAAAGCTTTTATGATAAACTTTTGTTTGATTTAATGAAATCAATGATCTGAATTGTTATTGCAATATGGTTGATCATGCAGGTGTTTATATATATAAAGAACTGTTTGCTCTGTTCTGTATCACATTATTGGATCAATCACATGTAAGTGTATATTTTCAATCTCATCATGATACTTTTATGTTTTTCTTACACATGTTTCTTCTGAATGTATTGTTCAAATAACACATACTATACAGATTTATTGCTATTGTTATGGATCATCTATTTCAATGTCACCCTGATGATAATCTGTTTTTTATTCTCTTCGAAAATTTTCCTTCTGATCATACAATATTTATCATTGGTGATCTTCTAATGCTACCATTACGGATTTTGAAATTAGTAAGTTGTGATTTGTCTTGGCTAAACAGTCTTGATGGGGATTGAACTTATGAGACATCACATAAAGGAAGAGGCTACAAAGATATCCACACTCCCCCCCTTGCTTTGAATCACTTGCATCCATGACCCTAAAAAAGGAGAACGATAATACAAATAAAACAATGTGCTCATCCCCTACAAGTAACTTGCAATTTCAGAGACCCAAGGTGGAAACAGAATATGAACGTACTGAAGGCGCAAATGTAAAGTGTCTAAGACGGCGGTCAGGGATAAAGTATGACCGGTTTGATAACAGTTCAGAAGATGAATCTGATTCCGAGCAGGTTGAGACTGCTGAGTTGTAATAACTCAGTTTTCATATCCACCTTTGTTTTGTTTTAACTGTTCTTATTAATATGTTATTTTGAACCTACAGAGCATCCCTGTAAGGCCACATCTACCTAAAGGGGTTGTCCATGAGTGTGGAGATGATAGGAATTGTCTAAAGGTTTCTGCACAATGGCGCCCAGAAGGAGCTTGCAGGGTTGATCTTGCAGAAGCGCCCGTGTTCTATCCAACTGAAGAGGTCATTACTATCAATTGTTGTACTACCTTATCCACTTTCCCTGACCCTGCCCAGTCTTTATTTGAAGGCACAGTTGACCTAATTACATAAACCATGGGAACCATTTGACATTCTTGAGCACTTAAAGAGTAGTATGATATTCCAGTTTCCTCTTTTACTCTGCCTCTTAATTAAACATGTATACAATATTTATTAGGGGCAAGGCATGGGAAAAGAACAATAAAAAAACTCAGAAAAAAAACACAATACCTTACAAAAGGACAATTAACTCCTTTTATAGTAAGCACCAGAGGGAGCAGCATTACTTAACTCTTAAATTTCTTAAAATTCAAAGCTTAAATAAATTCATTGGTGTCCAGGAATTTGAAGATACTCTAGCATATATAGACGGAATACGACCCAGAGCAGAAGCATATGGAATTTGCCGTATTGTACCTCCTGCTTCATGGAAACCTCCATGTTCTCTCAAGGAGAAGGGCATATGGGAAAACTCTAAATTTAGCACTCGTATACAAAGGATTGACAAACTTCAAAATCGGGATTCAATGTCAAAAAAAGCAAAAGTCATTCACAGTAAGAAAAGGAAAAGACGGAGATGCAATAAATCTAATATCAAGACTCACGATGATACCACTAATGATGAGTCTGAGAGGTTTGGGTTTGAATCTGGTCCAGAGTTTACTCTAGATTCATTTCAGAAATATGCTGATGATTTCATTGCCCAATATTTTGGGAAGTATGAAGGGCAATGGAAGCCTTCAGTGGAGACTATTGAGGGTGAATATTGGCGTATGGTCTTGAAACCCACTGAAGAAGTTGAGGTATATTTTTCTTTACCCCTTTTTATAGGCTACAGAAAATTTTAGCAATGGAAAAAAGTGCCCAGGAAAATAGTTTTTTAATGTTTGGTTTTACCTTGGAAAATACAAAATTAATACTACGAATAACTTCTATGCTTTTATTACATATACTTGGTTTTCTCAATCTTGGAATTAATAGAATTAATTCCACTTTGGTCCTACGAGTTTTATGTCAATTCCGCATTTAGTCCATGTCTTTCACTTTGTCCACTTGTGATACTTGACTAGTGTTTTTTGACCATTTTGTGGTCCTCCGGTGATTTTAACCATCGGAAACATTGTCATAAAACTCGATAGGAAACCCGTAGGACCAAAAATGGATTTTCTAAAAGGACTATATATGGGCGAAAACACGATAGTCATGTATCAAAAGTGGACAAATTGAAAGAAGTGAACTGTGGAATTGACATAAAACTCGTAGGACCAAAAGTGGAATTTATTCGAATTTATATAACTCAAACATATATGAATAAATCGTGTTCAAGCAAAATTGATTTCTTGGTCTGAACCATCTTTTTTATTTTCTTTCCGATTCTCTTTACTTCCAAATTGTACTCCTTTTTCTTTTCAAAATGATTTATTGGTTTGAAAATTTTACTTCCTAATTTTCATTTAGTTTTCTCTATGCACATGTGTATTTGTTTGCCTTTTTATGTTGCCGGATCTATGTTCAAATGATCTACAGAGTATATATTCAAATTGAGTTTTGCATTCGTGATGTTATAGCTCACAAGTTCACTCTCCTTATACCCTTTTCACTCCCTAGGTGCTTTATGGGGCTGATTTGGAAACTGGAACTTTTGGCAGTGGGTTTCCTAAACAACCTCATCAAATAAGCTGTGCTGCTGATATGAAATACATAAACTCAGGATGGAACTTGAACAACTTTCCAAAACTTCCTGGTTCTGTTCTTTCATATGAAAGCAGTGATATATCTGGTGTTCTTGTGCCTTGGCTTTATGTAGGAATGTGTTTTTCTTCTTTCTGTTGGGTATGGAAAATAACTATACTAGCTTTTCATTATCAGCACTCTGTTCTTTAACTGGTTAGATGATTTTAATTATAATTTTCTAAAATTACAGCATGTTGAAGACCACCATCTGTACTCTTTGAATTATATGCATTTGGGAGCTCCAAAAATGTGGTATGGTGTTCCTGGGGCAGATGCTTTAAACCTTGAAGCAACTATGAAGAAGCACTTGCCAAACCTCTTCGACGAGCAGCCAGACCTGCTTCATAAGCTTGTGAGAAGAACACCTCTATGCAGTTTGTTTTATCCAAATTCATTTGTCGAATGCTTATCACTAGTTTTCTTCTTTTTCAAACTTTTTAGATGTTAGTTTTGGTGGGACCCTTCCCTGGACCCTAGCCTTGCGGGGACAGCAATGTGCACCGGGCTGCCCCTTTAGATGTTGGTTTTGGGCATTTAAAAGTTACAACTAGTTAAAATTTGATATTTTAAATGAGTGATATATCTACCGTTTATTTATTTACAATTCTTTCCAAAAGATAAAAGTGGCTCCTTTTACTTCACTATAGGATAACTTTTGGGAGGAAGCATCTAAAGTTTTTCTCTTTTTCCTTTTTAACAACACTTGGGAAGTTATCACGCAAACATCATTGTCTAAATGCAAAAAGTGATATACACGTTCAACAGGAATGGTGTTTGCTTCTCATGGTACTTTTATTAAATTGAAGTTCTTCTCTTCAACTTCTCCGCTTTATGGCAGGTCACACAACTCTCCCCTTCCATACTAAAGTCCGAAGGAGTTCCTGTTTATCGATGCGTTCAGAACTCTGGGGAATTTGTTCTCACCTTCCCTAGAGCATATCATGCTGGTTTCAACTGTGGATTCAATTGTGCTGAAGCAGTAAATGTGGCTCCAATGGACTGGTTACCCCATGGACATAATGCTATAGAGCTCTATTCTGGTCAAAGACGTAGGACATCCATTTCACACGATAAACTGTTGTTTGGAGCAGCAAGGGATGCAGTCAAAGCACAATGGGAACTTAGTTTGCTTAGGAAGAAAAATTCAGTTAATTTGAGATGGAAGAATGTTTGCGGAAAGGATGGGGTTCTGTCTCAAGCTTTAAAGGTAAATACTTGCTTCTTCATGTTTGTTTCCTCCTATATTTATGTCAGTTTATGGACTTGCAGTTTTGGTATGTAATTTTGCGTGATATACATTTGTTATTGGTTTTTTGGTTGATTATCAGTTAACACATTGGCATAGTTGTCATGGCGCATGGCGATTGCCATGGCTCAAAGGCATTTTCCTGGCGCATGGCGATTGCCATGGCTCAAAGGCATTTTCCTGGCGCATGGCGATGGCACATATACAAATGGTGCATATAGCGGATATGGCGCTATGGCGATGACCACTTTTTCATGGCGATGGCGCATATGGCGCGCGCCATATCTAGCCATTGACTACAATGCACATTGGTCATATACTGGATTGTTAATTAAATCTATATTTTGAAGATCTCAGGATCTTGTAGAGTTTAGAGTGAGTTAGACCTAATTTAACACGGTACCTGAACTTGGCCTAACGGTGGTCTGGGTCTCACACTCAATGGTTTTCAGCTTTTTTGGGGTCTGGTCCATCTGTTCGTTCACCTTTCAGTTGTTCATTACTATATGGGCTGATGGGGATCACTGGATCGGACATGGTTGTTTATAAGTCTAGTACATAAGTGTGTGGTAAACTGTAAGCCTTGATCTCTTGAGGTTTTTTTTGTGTGTTGACAGTCCAGTTTAACATTTATAGTTTATATAGTGTCAGAGAAATAAATGTGATCAAATATAAAGGAAAAATCCTTTTTATAGACAATTGTGTTCTTGAGTTTTATCTATAATGTGGGACTGTAATATGCAGAAATGAGAACTGGAATTGTATGGTGTTTACAGCTTGCCATATCACTATTTTTTTGTAGACTCGTGTTGATACAGAACGGGTGAGGAGGGAATTTACTTGCACATCCTCAGAAACACTGAAGATGGAAAGCAGTTTTGATGCTACATGTGAGAGGGAATGCAACATATGCTTCTTCGATTTGCATCTTTCTGCAGCAGGTTGCCACAAGTGTTCACCAACAAAATATGCATGCTTGAACCACGCAAAACAGTTGTGTTCATGTCCTGAGGCTTCCAGATTCTTCCTCTTCCGTTACAGTATTGCTGAGTTAAATCTATTGGTTGAAGCTTTGGGAGGGAAGTTAAGTTCCATATATCGATGGGCAAGGCAAGATCTCGGGCTGTCTATGAGTTCATATATAAGCAATAAAGAGTTAACCGGACCAGTTAATCATACTGAAGTTAATCACATTCCCGAAAAGTTTCTGCCTAATAAAAGCTTTGGTACTGAAGTTAAATCTGGAGTAAATGCTTCAAATTCCCAGGATGATGTCATTGTCCTTAGTGATGATGATGTAGATGAGACTGAGACAACTGTTGTTGGGAATTCTCAAGGAGAAACTAGTTGTGCTCTAGAATGTTCTCAGGGCTCTCATAGTGCCGAGAAACTGGATGTAGATGCAAAGTCAAAGTCCACAGATGGAACACAAAATGACTTGGACAGATGTTTCAGACCAAAGGGTCTGCGTATTGCTAAAGTTGTGAGAAGGATCAATTGCAATGTTGAAGTTCTTAATTATGGAGTTATCCAGACTGGAATGTTATGGTGTGATGCTCGGGCTATTTATCCAAGGGGTATGATCCTTGAATCTCTCTTAGATCTTTGGATGGAAGGCTTAGTGGCTTTAGTCTATTTTTTTATAAACATTTGAGATGTTATAAATGTTGAAAGATTAACATAATATTTGATCGTATAACATTTCCGTCACCTAATAAAGGTTATCACAAACACTCTTTCCTCAAAGATATAGACTAAGGGAGTGTTTGCGATTGCTTGTGCTTTTTAAAAGTGATTTTTTTAATAGATTATTGTAAAAGTGATTTGTAGTAAAAGTTGATAGTGTTTGTAAGTAGAAGTGATTTTAATTAGAATGTAGAAGTTGAAGTGTTTGATAAAAAAAGTGATATGTAATGTAATATATTGTTAAATTACCAAAGCAACCCTGTAAAATTAAAAAGGATAGCAGATTGGGATCAGGAATTCAGGATCAAACCCAACCCATGCGGTGTCTTTTCTCTGCCGTAATTTGCCGATTGTGAAGAAAACCCATGGAATTAGAAAGCATCCAAACTAGAAAGAAAAATCATATCGGAAAAGAAGATAAAACCCACACCCAACCCAAGCAAGAGCAAAACAGTAGCTAGGAGCAAGAACATATATATATTCGAAGATGAAGATTTAAGAATCTGGAAAACAGCTAAGCAGGTGAGCGAAATAGGGGATGTGGGAGCTGCCTATTTCTCCAAGCGGGACTCCTTAGTAGTTCTGGGATCATCTTCCATGGTGAATGTGAATTGAAGAAGCAAAATCTGGAATTGAGTCTGATGCAGCATAGCAGGGAAGAGGGCAGAAGGATATTTTGGGATTTGGGTGTCATTATAATTATCCTTGGAAGTTGAGTTATCTACAAAAAAACCTAGAAGCAGTTACAAGCACCTATATCCCTGCTTCTAGATTTTAACTTAAAAGTACTTTTTTTAATTAGAAGTTGTGTTTAACAAACACCTCTTTTGACTTTTTTTTAACTAAAAGCTGAAAAGCACTTATTTTAAGCAAACACAAACACTGCTTAAGCTCTCCAAGCCCCTCCTAAAACATTTATCCAAGAACTGGCTGTAATAATCGTTCAACAGCTGATAAGTTTTTGTGTTTTGTCTTGTGCAGGATTCAGGAGTCGTACCCGATATATAGACATTTTAGATCCAACAAACACGTGCTACTATGTCTCTGAAATTCTTGATGGAGGACATCATGGACCCGTGTTTATGGTAATAAATAATATCATGAACTCATAGTTTGGTTGTATGGTGTGATCAATTTAGGCATTAGAATTGACAGCTGAAGAATAAATATGAACTAGACTTTTTTAGATACTTGGAAGTAAGAACACAGGAAGTGATAGGGAAAGGGAATTAAAGTTTCAATTGTTTCAGGTTGTATTCGACCTTGGAGTATATGAAGGAACATAAAATATTAACCAAATTATAGTTTTACATTTATTTGGGTTTCTTAGTCTTTATATAATTAAATTATGGAACTATTCTGTATATAAATAACGTGAGTTTGAACAAATATCTAAAAATTACTTAATTGGGTAATTGAATTTGAAGTTTTGGATTAATTTTAAGAAATTTCCCTAAATAGGAGAAAATAATGTGAAATTCCAAGATATAAGTACAATATTTTCTGCCTAAGTAGGAGTAATTAACTCTTATTTCGGGGAAAAATAGTGTTCGTATTTTTTCTTACTTTCCCTCGAATTTTCTTTCCTTCCAAAGTTCTCTATTTTCCTTTCTATGTTCCAAACAGACCCTTAAGGTGATAAACAAATGAATTTTCAGGTTTCTTTGGAGCATTGTACAAGTGAAGTATTTATCCATTTTTCAGCAAACAAATGCTGGGCAATGGTTCAGGAAAGACTTAATAAAGAGATTACTACTCAGCGCATGATGGGAAAGACAAACCTCCCTCACCTCCAACCTCCTGGGAGTCTTGATGGCTTAGAAATGTTTGGTCTTTCTTCCCCGGCAATTGTACAGGTAGGCCCTATCAAGCTGTTTATCTTTAATTCTGTGGCACATTTATTCTAGATGAAAAAATTAATGCCCTTTAGGTTAGGCTCCATTTGGTTAGAGGACAATATATTTTCCGGGAACACATCTGACTTAGATTTTTGTTAAAAGTTCAAAAGTAATTTGTATATGTATTTCTTTTATCTAAAGACTCCGATAAGTTTTAAATTTTTTTAATCAAATTTGATTTTCTTTGGTAACTTAATGTAAAACCAAATACTCCGTATTAAAATAGTACTCCATTTTCTTCTGTTGCACATATAGCTAGTGTTTATTAGCAGGATCTTAATTTAAGAAAGGAAATGTGGAACAGTTCTATCTAGTTTTTTTGTGGATCAACATTACGTAGGAATGCATTGAGCTTCTATTGCTTAATAAATTGAAATCCTCTGTAAATAGGAAATTCAAGCCATGGACCAAGATAGGGCTTCTTTGGAGTATTGGAAATCACGGCCACATGTGCCCAATCAAGAAGGCTCTGTCTCTGGAGATGACCCAAAACCAAAGACAAAATTTGAGGGTGTTAAACCAACACTTGGTGGTCTGTTTAAGAAGGCTAACAATGAAGAACTCGAGGCATTTTACAGTTTACTACGAAACAAACCGTCCCCAACTGATCAATTCTTAGTGGCAGGGCTTCTAAATGATGAGATTCATAGGCGAAGAATATGAATAATGATTGATTTTTTAAACATGGATATAGGTTATTTTAAGAGGACTTTTGACGTAAAAGTCGGAGCCCCAATTTTGGTCACACAAATGATTTGCAGCGTAAGCCCAGCAAACTGTGAAAATTTTTGCGCTGAAGATCTTCCTTTACTGTACAGTACTAAGATAGTGCACAATGAAAATGTTAGACCACTGAACTGGTTTGATTAACTAAAAACTTGTAAAGACATCAATCAGTATTCAGTACATTTGCTGTGGTGGTTTGGTATATATAAAAGAAGAAATTTCAAGAAGTGGTCATTTTCCTTTTATTTTCCAAGGTGTTGCTGATTTATGACAATTCAAAGGATCACAACTCACAAGCACTGGAGATTGAACTATTGAAGTCTTATTGGTAATTTTAAAAGGTTAAAGGGTCAAATTAATATAATCAGAAGCATGAACCGCAAATAACTTATTCAGCAGGTTTTAACTTGTTCTATATTTGTGACGATTTTTTTGAAGCTATAGTTAAATACAGGGGTAAAATAGAGAGCAAGATAAGTTGTACGTTGTATAATAAAAGTTGCGGTGAAAAAGCTAATAAAAGTTGTACGTAGTATTTTATATGAGCGACTGACCACGCAACGGTGTAAGTGTGTAACCATGTTTGGTAATCAACGTTTAGTTGCGGTTTCGATCAGCGGTTTGTATTAACTGTTTTGATTTTGCATTAGTTGTTCAAGACCATTTGGTAAAATTAGCTGTTGGGGGAATATATTAATAAATTGGATAAAAATAATATGGTAAGAATTAAAATAATTTGAGTAACCGCAAGGTCCGCAAGTATACTCTTTTAAACCCTCCTCAACTCTTTAACCGTCTTTGGTTGAGAATAAAATTAACTAGTCTAATACAATTACAATCATATTGTGCAAGTCATTTCATTAAATTGCTAGATTCCTAGAAATCTTGAATAGAAATGGAAATAAATTAGACCATCATCAATGTCATTACACCACTTTTGCAAAAGTTCCCCACCTAAAGAACAAAATAATGTAAATAACTTAGATGTGGAGAGAAATCAAAAAATTAATTCAATAACAACAATATAAAAAATAATTGGGAGTATCATATAAAAATGAACAACATCACTAATTATAACAACAATAATATACGAAGTATTGATGAATACTCCGAAACACTAATTACAATGCTGGAAAAATAGCATGAGAAACAAATGTATACTCTGTCTCCATAGCAATATAATAATATATTGAATACTACGTGACACTAATAATAGCATCTCCAACAAAAGTAGGAAACAAATGAGCAGGGCCGGTCCTGAAAAAATAGAGACCCGGTGCGATTTAAAAAAATGGGCCTTTTTTCCGAACACTAAGAGAGATAGAACATAAATAATTAATTTAATATTTACTTAATAACTTATACCAAATTATTAAACATAATTTAATAATTCATCAATTAATTACAAAAAATAAAAAACAACCACAATAGCTAAATACTCCCTCCGTTCCGCTTGTCCCATTTTACCTTTTCGGGAAATCCCACTAAGATTGTCCCATAACTTATTTGGTAAAGATTGTGTGGCTCTAAATCATTCTAACTTTATTTTTACTTTATCAATTTAATATCAATCATACAAACATATTTTTTTTAATAATTGTGTCACTTTCTCTCGTCCCAATCTTAGTGGGAGGGTAGTAGCAATACATTAGGTGGCCTAAGGCATAAACAATAAACAATTTACTCTACGTTTATGCTAATAATCGAAATTCCCAAACATATAAAACAATTAAAACAGTCTAATAGAGTAATAGAACTATAGAAGTATGCACTGGCCGATGGAGATTCGAGACTTGGGGCGTGTGCGTGTAGACAGCTGCTGCTGAACCGGCGGAGAGGGGACTGCCGGAGGTGCGGTACTGCGGTGCTGGACAGGGGCCTAGATGCGAACGCCATTTTGCTGCCAGCGATTAACGCCTAGAGGAGTAGACCCGTAGAGGCCCTCGATGCAAGCTGCGTTATTATTTCTTCAATCGACGTTCTGTACTTCCGTTTTGGTTTTGTGATCTACGCTTTTGGGTTTATTTTGGACTTGGGCTGACTACCACCTAATACTAATACTAAAAGAAAAAAATTTGGGGCCCTCAAATTTTTGAGGCCCTGTGCAGTGGCACCGATTCTACTTCCCCAGGGCCGGCCCTGCAAATGAGAAATAAAGACTTAAATAATACTATGGACTTTTAGGTTGACAAATATAAGAACAAGTTTAAAATAGACAAAAAAGATACTAAACATATTCAGACAGACTGGAATACCCTTGATCCATAACTGTGCAACGTCTCCCCGCTCATCTATTATCTTTCCACCCACACAGCTCATCTCCTCCCACCTACGTAGCTCATGTCCTCTCACCGGCGCATCTCATCTCCTCTCCGACGGCGGCGGCAGCTCATCTCTTCTACCCGGCGGCGGCGGCTCATTTCTTCTCACCGACGGCGGCTCATCTCTTCTCACCGGTGGCGGCATCTCATCTCTCCTTACCCGCGGCGGCAACTCATATCTTCTCATTGGCGGCGGAGGCTCATCTCTCCCACCGGCGCCATCCCCAATCATCTTTCTGTTTCTTCTATTTCCGTCTGGCAACAGGGAGGCGTCGCTGAGCTCAAATGGCGGGGGCAATACTGAGCGCGAAGGGGCATCGAGTTTGACGAATCTGTCGTCTTCTTCCTCAACTCCGCGTGGAAGTCCGTCGCACGTGGCTTCTTCTTCATGGTTGGACTCCATCGCTCAGATGAAGGCTCGGTTGGACTGTATCACTCATTTGCTTTGAGCCTTTCACCTTCTTCAAATCAGAAACGAGGGCGGCAACATATCCAGATCTGGGCGGACAAAATTAGATCTGAGAGATGGGAGTTCACCAGAAGAGGCGACTAGGTATCCAAATCTGACCGGACGAAAACAGATCTGAGAGATGGAAGGTCACCGGGAGAGACGCTTACTAAGATTACAATGGCGGGCGACGATAACTATGGTGGTCGGCGTCATCACTGGCAACGCCGGTTGACCAGCCGTGGCGGCAGTGGCGTGCCGAAGATTGGGAAGGGAAGGGGCTGGGGAATCGAGACAGGATGGGGCGGTGGTCACCAGTGGTGGTCGGAAGTGGTTGTGGTGGTGGACGGTGGTCACCGGTGGTGGACGGTGGTAACCGTAACTGGAAGATCGGGTAATTGTAAATGGACGGATCGGGTAACTGTAATTGGACTGGTCGGGTAAATATAACTGGATGTGTTGGATAAGTGTAACTGGACGGGGTCGGATAAGTGTAACTGGACGGGTCAGATAAGTTTAACTGGATGGATCGGATAAGTGTAACTGGACGGGTCGGGTAACTGTAACTGGACGGTTCAGATAATTGTAACTGGATGAGTCGGATAATTGTAACTGGACGAGTTATTTAGGTAATTGTAACTGGACGAATCAGATCACTGTAACTGGACGACGAGTCGAATAACTGTAACTGGTCCCACGTAACTATAACTTCTCGGCTGTGTAACTGGTGGAATCAATTAAATATAAATCGTAATCAAATAATTGTAAAGTGAAGGTTATAAAAGTAAAAGAATTATATTTCATTGGTCCTTGCTACTTTGCTAGCATATGCAGAATCTGGGATATGACTGGGAGGAATCGGATACGTGCAATATGTTGACTAGGAGGGCATATATGGTATTTCCTTCCCAACTTATTGGATAAGACCACCGTCTGGTCTCTTTTTTGGAAAGTAATACTGGAAGCTTTATTTTTGTCCAAATCATTGTAATTAGTACTCCCTCCGCCCCTTATAACTTTGCCAACTTTCCTTTTTTAGACGTCCCATTAACTTTGCCACTTTCTCTTTTAAGTAAAGAATTTGTGGATCTCGTTAATTCTCTCTCCTCTGCACAAATCTCAACCACACAGTTTTTACTTTATTAATCCCCGTGCCGGTCAAACTTGGCAAAGTTATTAGGGACGGAGGGAGTATTATTTGTGATCTAACCCCAACAAATGATCACACAACACGGAAAAAGGAATCAAGTAATGAAAAATTGAAAACGCTACTATTAGCGGCATGTAGGATTTTGGCTGCTTGGATAAAACAGCTAATTGAAGCAGCTGTTTACCAAACATTTACTCCGTATTTTAACGAGTCAATGAGTCAAATCATCTAAAGTTGATCAAACAAGCTAAAGAGTGGCTAATAAGACATTTACCAAGGTCATTGGCGTAAAAAAAGTAAATAAAGTAATCAAGTAGCTAATAAAAGTAATAAAATAACGATTTGATCATGTCTCATAGCTAAAATCGGATAAATTGCACCAAATCCCTCTCTGTTATACATTACATGCACACTATCCCCTTGTGTTTTTTAAAATACACAAAACCCATTTATGTTTTATAAAAACTTGCATATAATCCCTTGAAATGAGGAGTTTGATGCACGTGTGATACACTTGCTTTTGGTGCGACTTGTTGCATAGTTTTACCTTCTTGGGCTAGATAAATGTCAATTTTATCCATTTTGTATGAAATGGACAACGTTCCATTATTCATATTCAGTTCATCTTATTTAAAAACTACAAAACATAAATTTGTTCTCTCTTGTATATCCACCTTTTTTAGTAGTGGTGTACGAATTTTTTTCCGTATGCTTTATTAAAATATAAAGTTCAATTACCAAAATAGATCATATCAATTTGTGTTGCTCATCACGATCAAAAAAAAAAATTGTGTTGCTCATTTTTTTTCTGTATCCTAAATCATTTTTCAAAAATGATTTATGAGTTTGACTTAACATAAGCTAATCCTTCCCTCACAGATTTTTACATTAGGATATAGCAACAAAAATATTTACATCTTAAAATAATTTTAAACATTCTACTGACCAATTATTTTAACTAATATATTTATGTCAAATTTAATAAATGTATACTTTTATGATGGTAGTTTTAACAAAGATCATTTTCATATTATCAATACTTCTATATATAAATATTTAATCGGTCA